AAGGTTTCTTGAGGTCATATGAATTTTAGGATGGATTTTTCTATTCTTGCAAAAAGAATGTTGTTGGGATTTTTCAAGGATTACATTGAATCTGTAGATCACTGTGAGTAGTGTGRACATTTTCTCTATATGAAGTCTTTCAATACATGAACATTGGATATCTTGCCACACTTATTTTAGCAGTGACTTGTAGTTTTAGAGTATGTCTTTCACCTTCTAGGTTAAGTTTATCCTTAGTATTTTATTCTTTTGATGTTATAAGTGGAATCTTCTTGATTTTTCAGATTGTTCATTGTTAATATGTGGCAACACTACAGATTTTTGTGTATTGATTCTATATCCTGAAACTTCACTGAATTCACTCATGAATTCGAATATTTAGGGTTTCTACATATAATATCTGTAAACAAATTATTTTACTTTACATTTAAAACAGCCTTTTTACCCCCCTTTTTTCTTGCCCAATGGCTTTGGCTACAACTTCCATCACTATGTTGAACAAGTAGCAAAAGTGAGCATCCTTGCCTTGCTCTTGATCTTAGAGGAAAAGCTTTTATCACTGAGTATGATCTTCCCTCTGGGTTTTTCACATATGGTCTTTATTTTGAGATGGAATCTTTCTATTCCTAGTTTTGTTTTGTTTTTTTCCATGAAAGGGTGTTAAATTTGCCAAATGCTTTTTCAACATCAACTGAGATTATCACATGGCCATTTTAACTTTTAAACATTATTTTGTTGAAGACTAATATACACAGAGAAGTACATATTTAATCAGTACAACTCAGTTAATAATTCAATGGTAATAAGCATATGACAGCCTTCAGATCAAGACAGAATAGTACCAGCACCACAGAAACTGCCTTCATGCCTCTCTCCTATCCTCATTCTTTCTTCCTTCCCAAAGGTAACCACTGTCCTTTCTGTTTTTGAACCTTAAAGTTATATAGTATGTATTATTCTCTATTTTTCACTTGCATTGTATTTGTGAAATTTATCCATGTTATTCCCTAGTTCATTAATTTTTATCGTCATATGTAGTCCATGGAATGAATCAACCACAATTGATTGATAAGGGGTATTTAGGGTACATATGCTTTTGTGCTATTAACAAATCATGCTGATGTGTACCTTCTCATGCTTGTCGTTTGGTCCACATGTACATGCATTTTTTTATAGTATACATTAGGAGTCTAATAGCTGAATCATATCTAGTTCGTAGAGTATGTATTTGTTTACCTTCAGTAGATAATATAAAACTTTCCAAAGTGATTTTGTGAGTTTTCATTTCTATTCCTTGGTAAGTTTGCAATTGTTCCATAGCTTTACTGCCACTTGATATTGTTGGTCCTTTTCATTTTTATCATTTTAATATTAGATGCATAATGACATATCATTATGATTTTTAATTAGTGTTTTCCTACTAATTGATAGAGAATATTTACAGGTTTATTAGCCACTTGACTTTTATGAAGAGCATATTCAAATTTGTTGTTACTTTTCTATTGTTATCTTTTTAATCAATATGTAGAAGGCCTATAAATATTTTAAACATGTTCTTTGTTAACTATATATGTTTGTAAATATCTTCTCTCAGTCTGGTTTTCATTTTATTCTCTTAAAGATATTTAAATGTAGTTCCAGTAAATTATTTTTTCTTTATGACTTAAGAAATATATATCCTATTTAAGAAAACTTTTTGTGTCCCATGGTTAAAGAGATATTCTGTGTTATCTTTTAGAAGTATTTTTGTCCCCTTACATTCAGATCTATAATCATCTAGCATAGTTATTTTAAAAATATTGTTTAATTTAGCACTAAAATTTCAAACTTAGAGAAAATTTGCAAGAATATAGTACAAAGATATCCAGGTTTTCTTCACCCACATTCCCCCAATGTTAGTTTTTTACTCATTATTGCTACATAGTTCATTGTTGATATGTAGATATGCTAGAGCCATCTTTACTTGTATACAAAAGTTGGTTGTTAAAAATTCAGAAATTTTTGGTCATCTTTTAGACCAGTATATGCTCTACATTGTGAGTGGGTATAAAGTATTTTTACTTTTAGCTTCAACTGGGCCATTGGGTGGGGTATTTATCCCATGGACATACATACAAAATAYTACAAGTCATTCCTATTCTTTTTCTTTTCTTTTCTTTTTGCATATATTAAGTAGTACGTCATGAAGAACAAAATAGATGCATGACTAAAACCAAGAGTCTGCCCATGGTCATAAGATAAGATGAAAWTGTAGAAAGTAAGTAGTAACAAAATTAGAAGTGGATTGGAAGAAGAGACTGATAGTATTCTCTACACAAAGAATGAAAGGAATTTCTAGGTTGTTAAATGCAACACTTGCAGGGCTGAAGTTTCCATAGAGTATAAAGGGTATGGTCAACAACAACAATAAAAAGTTTATGAATGAAATTATGGTGTCTTGTACAAGTTTTTTTAAAAGAATGCTAATAAGAATGATAATATTAAATTAACATAGCATATGGCTTCATACTCAACCTGTCATAGCACTTACTATTCTTAGAATTAACTGGAAGAATCAGGGGGCTGGGGCATAGTTCAGTGGTAAAGCTCTTATCCAGCATGCACAAGGCCCTGGGGTCAATTCCCAGCTCCAGGAAAAAAMAAAAACAAAAACAAAAACAGCAAGGATCAGAAGAAACCTGCATTTCTATGTGTAAAGCTTATAGTCTAGCTCTTAAAACCAAACTATGGTTCTATCCTCAATATTATATTGTAGAATGTAAATTAATAATGGGGTCTGCAGCTTTAGTTAAACATATTATATGGAATATTACAAGTAGAAAATACAATGACAAAATTAAAAACACCCAATGGGTTTTTAAATTTTTAATAAATTTTTTATTAATTAGAAAAATGAGCAGGGTAGGGTGGTGCATGCCTGTAGTCCAGCTACTTAGAAGGCTGAAGCAGGATTGTTTGAGCATAGAAATTTGGGGCAGCCTGGACAATGTAAATGAGACACTATCTCTTAAATTWAAAAAAAAAATTATTCCCCAACAATACACACAAAAAAATAAGAAAAGAACATGGAGTCATGAATTGATAGTGGCCAAATTATATTGTTGTGTGTACGTACAAATATGTTGTAATGAATCCCACCATCATGTACAAATATAATGCACCAGTAAAAGAAGTAGAAAAGAAAGAAAATTACTTACAAAGTCTCTGTTTAATCATGTATTAACTTCCTGGATGTTTCTTCTTACACTAAATTTTGTGACATGCAAGAGGGAAAATAATACATTGACTCTTTCCTATCTCATAATTCTTCCTATATTTCAAAAATAGAAATTATTTGAAAAATTTAAAACACTCAGCATTTTCACTGAACTTGAAGTAATTTAATAATGCAGATTGTGCCAGACATTAATTTGCTCGTAAACACTCACATACATACGCACAGGTATACATAAATAAATGCTATGGTTAAGTAACATGTATTTTCATGAGACAGTTAAATAATATAAAATGATCCATACAATGGTTTTAGGTATGAAATCTTTAAATATACCTGTATTGGATATTTTTAAAAATCTTAGAGCAGTTTTTATATACCTAAATGGAAAATTATTTTCAGGTTAAATCAATTTGTATAAAACTTTCTGCAAAACTTGAAGACTTTTAAAATAACATGAATTCAGTCTCATAAAAATTAAATCTATTAACCCTTAGTACTGAATGATAGAATACTATAGGCACTCCAAAATGTTTATTTTGCCTTTCAGAATAAATTATTTATTATTTATGATTGTGCTCAGTTTTCAGTATCTTAGATGTAATTTACTATTGTTTAATTGGTGGACATTGTATATAGTAGACTAATATTGCCTGTGACACATCTTTTCTATTTATATAAGTCATATTGTATCTACATTTAAAGATTTCTAAATGTATGTACTTTTATCACAGAAATGATCAAATTCATTGAAAAGAGAATATCAAGAATAAAAATAAAACCTTGCTGGGCACAGTGGCACACGCCTATAATCCCAGTGGCTCGGGAGGTTGAGGCAGGAGGATTTTGAGTTCAAAAGCCAGCCTTAGCAATTTAGTTAGGTACTAAGCAACTCAGCAAGACCTTGTCTCTAAATAAAATATAAAAATAGTTGCTTCTGAAGTGTTTCACTAATCAGTGGTTAAGTCYCCCTGGGTTCAATCCCCAGTAACAACAACGAAAGTAGTGAAACCAGATGATTGAGTAATGTAAAAGCTTAAAATTTAAGACTTAAAGGTTTTTTTTTCCTAATCCTAAGCAAGTTTGTCTACCTTTTTTTTTTTTCAAAGAAGGAATGAAAAAAATCTTAAATTATTCTTGTTCCTCAAAGTAAATATTATGGTGATGAAGAGGATGGGTTTTCATAATTACCTTGTCTATCACAGACAAAAAAAAGTTAAGTGGAGAGTTGCCTTATTCAATCATTGTATTTTAGTGCCCCTGTGTTTAGTTATTAAGTACTGGTTATGGTTAAATTGAATAAATATTACGTAAAGGTGAAGCGAAAGATAGACATGGAATTTAAGTAGAGGGTTCTAATATATTAGCTCTAATGTATCTTATGAGCATTGGTTAGGTCATAAAAAATATATTACCTTGAATGGTCTATAGTCAACACAGTATTGCAGGATTTTTTTTTTTTTTGACAAGAATATCCCGTTAGCCAGGTGCTGCGGCACATGCCTGTAATCCCAGTGGCTTGGGAGGCTGAAGCAGGATGATCATTAGTTCAAAGCCAACCTCAGTAACTTAGCAAGGCCCTAAGCAACTCAGTAAGACCCTGTCTCTTAATAAAATACAAAAAAGGGTTGGGAATGTGTCTCAGTGGGTAAGCACTTCTGAGTTTAAAAAAAGGGTAWCAAAAAATCCCTTTATGTTATAAAATGAAGACGAATCTTGAATGTGTTATATTTTAATATATTTTAACATTGTATACATAAATGGCTGTATATTTTTTGTTTTTCAGAGTTGGAGGGCTATCCGGTATATTAATGTCTTATTGATAATGGCAGAACATCCACCACTACTGGATACAACTCAGATTTTAAGTAGTGATATTTCTCTTCTATCTGCCCCTATTGTAAGTGCAGATGGAACACAACAGGTAAGGAAACCAAAGTGTTTATTTCCTTATGGCTAGTACACATCTGTTTCTTCCACACAAGTGCAAAATTTAACATAGAATTAAACTTCACTATCATTGGTTCCTGCTAATTTGTGTTTTGAACTCCAGTTAAAATATTGTTTTTAGAGATGGTAAAATAATGAAACTGTTTTTGAAGTTGCTTCTGAAGTGTTTCACTAATTAATGGTCAAATTTTTCAAATGTTATTTAGTTGCCACTAAATTTGTTTTTGTTTTCCTTTAGATAAACAATTTACTAATCCTTCTACCTTAATGATTATTCTAAATCATTCCTTCAGGTCATTATGAAATTATGACTTAATGATACAATTAAGTAACTGCCTACATTATAACATAATAAAACTTATCTTCTTTTTCTTCCCATTATCTGCCCTTCACCAGACCCCCACCTTCCAAAAGCAAATACACAGTTCCTAAAAAGCTGATATGTTTTCCTAATACAGGACTTTAAAAGTGTAATTCTATGGTTGCACTGACTTACTTCCCCAGTATCCTAAAGGGATGGGAATAATGGGTTTTCATAAGTACCTAGTATGCAATGTGCTGATGTCTAGTTAGGCAATGTGTTTAATTTTCACAACTACTTTATATACTAGGTATTTTAATGTGATAGGTGAGGAAACAAAAACTAAGGATATTACAAATGATAATGAGGAGGAAAAGAAATAGTTTGGATATTTACTATATCACTGACATCATGTGAATTTTATGATCTCATGTAATTCTTTCAGCAATTCTGTAAGGTACACCTATTCTTATTTTTGTAAATGAAAGAAAATGAGTTTCAGAAAGGCTAAAACGTAAACAAGGTCATACAAAGTTTTTATTCCTTTTACAGATATTGTCTCCTTGGGAAGTTGTTTATTTGTTTGTTTAAGTCATAGTTTATTACTTTACAAATTCAGTATCCTGGACAATTTTTTGACAAGATTAGGGGCTACTGTCTTAACTTTGCCATTAAAAAATCATTAGTGGGAGCTGGGGTTGTGGCTCAGCGGTAGAGTGCTCGCCTAGCACATGCGAGGCCCTGGGTTCAATCCTCAGTACCACATAAAAATAAATAAAKATATTGTTTCCAACTAAAAAATAAATATTTTAAAAAATCATTAGTGATTGGCTTGGGTTCTAAATGTTTTCTGTTTGTATAAACATGACAAAAAAGCATCATGTCCTGGTTTTAATTTTTACATGTGCTCAGCTTCTAGCAACAACTTCATTTCACTAACTTGCTTTTCATGGTCAAATTTAAGTCTGTTAAGGTTTTTTTTCCCACACAAAAATAATAGGTGTGGCAGATATTAACTTACTTTTACGAGACTCTTATTTTTTGTTATAATTTTTTGCTTCAGGCCAGTCACTGGTTTCAAGTTGTTGATAGTCTATGCATTGAAAAACACATCTATTAAGCAGCGATTATATTGACATAATTACTATGTTGTATATTCTGTTAAGGAGAAGTACACCAGGCTGAAAAACTATCTTATTGCTCTCAAGACTTCTTTCTCTGATTCCTTTTAAAAAGATAGATAGTCTGTTGGCAGAATTTTCTTGAAATTTTGAGGGTACCATGGCTGTCATGTAACTGTAGTGGTGTAAATGGATATAGAGAAATGATCTGAGAATGGAAGAATCTGCTGGAGTAAAATTTAAAAGATCAAGTGGGTCCAGGAGTTCTATAGGATAGGGTTTTGGGTAGGGTAAAACAAAGCARAAAAACACGTTTTAGGAGGTAAATAAAATCCCTGTATTCTAACTGTCAGGAAGAAAGCTAAAGATGAGTGGAAAGAGCACTGAATTTAGTTGATAGATTTGATTTAGATGACTTAAGCCAAAAATTTTAACTTATCCCTTGGTGTTTACTTCTCTAAAAAATGGAGGTGATGTGGGCTGGGGTTGTGGCTCAGCAGTTAGATTCTCAGCACCACATAAAAATAAGTAAATAAAACAAAAGTATTGTGTACAACTACAACTAAAAAAAAACAATGGAGGAAATGTCTTCTTAGGRTAGCTGTAGTTATGAGGGTGAAATGAGTCTGAAAGAGCTCAGTAAATGTTTGCTAGATCCAATTGAAGCACTCAAATRTTTTAAAACCTAAAGAAACTATAGATATGCAGATTTAAATCAATAGAAATAGTTTGCAGTAGATTAGAAAACTAGAAAAATAATTATGAAGGATGCATACTATACTGTAAATCTGAAAGYGTGAACCAATAGCCATGTAGAATGTATAACAAAACTAAAAAAAGATAGATAACAATTAGAGGTAGAAATACAATAAGTTTGACGGTTGACATTTCTTTACTTTAACTCAAGAACTTATTGATATGCTGAGTTTGAGTTTGCCTGTAGAGACCCAACACTTGGTTGATGCTGGATTAAAACAGTGAAATGAAAAACAATTCCAAATAGAGAAAAGTGTCATGTATAAGAATGATGTTAAAAATTTAGAATAACAGATATTTCACCTCTTATCTTTACTTTCTTGAGAATATTATACTATGTGGAATGATTTCTATTCTATCTCTTAGGATCATATTAATTTTGTTACAGTTGGCTATTTAAGATTATCWGTCTCACCAGGCTCAGTGGACATGCCTGTAATCCAAGTGGCTCAGAAGGCTGAGGCAGGAGGATCATGAGTTCAAAGCCAGCCTCAGCAACTTAGTGAGGCCCTAAGCAACTTTATCAACACCCTGTCTCAAAATGTAATATAAAAAGGGCTGGTGTGGTGGCTCAGTGGTTAAGTGTCCCTGGGTTCAATTCCCCAGTACCAAAGGGGGAAAAAATTAACCTTAGATAATTACAGATGATGCTAGTCTGTAACTCCAGCACTTTGGGAGGCAGAGGCAAGAAGATCACAAATTTGAGACCAGTTTGGCATCTCAGCCAGATTCTGTCTCAAAAAATAAGTGGTAGAGCAACCCTAGTTCAATCCCCAGTACTACAATCAATCAAAAATAAACCTCAGGCTTTTTTTTAATCAGAATTCTCTCTATTTCTTTAATCTCTTTACATTATTTTGTAACTTGTTTTATTTGTACCCACAGAATTTTACTTTATGGAGATGACTAAGAGAAACCACAGAGACCAGTACTACTGAAAGATGTTTATTACTTATATTTCCCAAAGAAGGCAGGCAAAGCTACAGAGAAAGCATCAGATTTTGGTCAGGAATTAGAAGTAAGAACTGGAAGAAAGCCTAAGCCAAAACCTTTACTGGGAAAGCCTTCAGGGAATAGAAGGCAGAGTAGAGTAAATAATCTAGGATTGGCTAGTTTTAATAATTCCAAGAGGCTTTGGGCTATAGAGTGGTTTCTGATTGCCTGTAAATAGCCCCACAATGATTTCAAGCAGGTCATTGGGACTGAAAATTTGGGATTGACAGATAAATGAGAAATATGTTCCTGGCCAGACCCTTGATAAAAATGATCTATTTCTGTGAAGAGGCAGTCTTTCCCAGGCAGATTGAAATGTTTAAGGGGCTCAAAGCTGAGGAAAGAAAGTATCATTAAGTTTTCAAAACCTGAATTATGGTCTTGTTAATGATGCACAATTTGAGAAATATTACAGAGGTAAAATAAATAAACAAGACTTGAAAGAATAAAAATTTCCCCAGGCATTTTCTTTGAATGTTCAGGTAGATAACAAGACCATTCACTAAAATAAATCTTATCAGTCACAGTAAGCAAGATTATTATTTTTTTGTGTGGGGTTTTGTTTTATTTGTTTGTTTCTGGTTCCAGATTAAACCCATGGCGCTTAAGCACTGATCCACATCCCAGCCCTTTTTATTTTGTATTTTGAGACAGGGYCTCTGTTGCTTAGGGCCTCACTGATTTGCTGAGGCTGGCTTTGAACTTGTGATCTCCTGCCTCAGGCTTCTGAGCCACTGGGTTTACAGGTATGYRCCACCATCCACAGCTACAAGATTATTTTTATGGGAACAAACAGCCTCAATCTCAGTAGTTACCAAAAGGTTTATTGTTCATTCTGCATGTCCTCCACAAATTAGCTGTGGCTGTGCCCATATAATCTTTGATGAGATGTGGCCTCTGTATAGATGTTTCGGGTGTCACAGTGGACAACATACTGACCTCTGTTAAAACATTGCAGACCTGCCATCAGTGGGCTGGGGGAAATCTTACTTAAGGGAAAGGCAACAAATATTTGTTAAAAAAAAAAAATGAGTCTTCCACAATGAAGATAACAGAAGTGACAGCATGTTTGATATTTGAGAGAGTATAAGAACTTCATTTGATTTTGAGATATTTTGGGCTGTAATAAAAAAAGATAATAATAAATACCATTTGAGCTCTTACCATGTATCAGATACTGAGTTAGGCCCTTTACATTTAAATATAATGTCTTAAKAGACTAGCAGAATTAGAGAAGTATTCAGTTATTTGTTACTAAGTTAATTAAGTAATAGAGCATCTGAAAGGCAAAAACCAGGATTCAAAGCTAAATATGTAAGATCCCTAATCATGTAACGTGGTCTTAATCTCTATACAAATAGAGTTTAGATTCCAAGAAAAATACATTATTTAAGGCAGAAATATAGAATACTAAGGGTAACAAAGCCATTGGTATTTTTATTTTACTCTGTKGATTTTTAAAAGCCCTAGCAGTTGAAAAAAGGAAAAAACATGTAATTCCAATTGTACATACATGTACATCACAGAAGAGAAAATTCTGGACACAGGAAACTCTCCTTCCATTTCAAACTAAAGATTAGTTTTGGGTTTTTTAAATTTTATGTAAATAGAATTATAGAATATTGTTTTGTGTTTACCTTTTTTTACTCAATGTTGCATATATGGGATTCATAATGTTACTACCTGTAGCATAGTATTTGCTGTGTTTAATATTTTGTTACATGAATATGTATGTTCTAGTTTCTTTATTTGTTCTGCTATTGATGAAAATTTGGGTTGTTTTCAATTTGGGGCTATCACAAA